AGGCATTGCCTGACTCCTCTCACTCTAAGCCTTTAGTAGATGGTTGGTTTAATGTTTTATTTGGAATGTTAGAGTTTGACGTTTGTAGAAAGATTCTAAGAGATTGCAAGAATAGTCTAGTATCCTTCCCCCGGGTCATCTCTGGTTTACATGCTGCCTTACTTGCTTTATTGTACCTGACTTACAAGCTTTAAAAAAAGTCTACATTTTCTTTCTAAGAATATAGGATCCATAATCCAGTAGAAGTTTGTTGTTAGGTGCTGACTTCATAGTGGCCCTGTGCATAATTGAATGAAATCTTACCCAGTCTTGTGCCAGACTCACAGCTTTCGATGTCCCTAAGCCCATGTTTCTAGTCACTGCGCCAAACCATCTTGAGAAATGTCTTCCTCTCTTTATTGATCTACTTTTCTATGTCTACTATCCTTTTGTCAAGAGTCACCCCTCCTGATAACATGCGAGATGTTGTATGTGAACAACACCCCTCCTGATAACATGCCCAAAGCATGTGAGATGGACTCTTACCATCCTTACTTCTGAGAAGTAACTCTGCCTTCATTCACTTCTTCCCAGATGAATTTGTTTGTTCTTTGGACAGTCCATGGGGTAGCCAACATTCTCTGCCAGCACCAGTTCAAAGGCATCCATTCTCTGGTCTTCCTTGGTCATTGTCCAGCTTTCACTTACATATGGAGCAATTGAAAGTAGAAATTTAGCCTATATATTTAACATCCATATGGTCACACTTTCTTCAGTTAAATCAGAGTTGGCAAACTATAAAGGGTAAGATAGCAAATATTTCTGACATTGGCACACCATATGGTGTCTGTCACAAATAGTCACTGCTATTGTGCAAACACAGCCAGAAATGACACTTCAAATAAACGGATTGAGAAATTGTGGTACAGTCACACATTGGGAACCTATGCAGCTCTCTGGAACAATGATTTTGTAAAATACTGTATAACTTTGGCGAAGTTAGAGAACATTATGCAGAGTGAACTAACTCAGGCGTTTAAGGACAAATACTACATAAGACCAGTATTGTGAAAACAGAAGGATAAGCAGTAAGATTTATATGGATATCCAAAGAGGGAAGAAGAGGGAGACTGAGTGTGGGATGAGGGGGAAATCACAGGGTCACAGAGTTTGGTGGGTGGAAAGAGGGAGAAAAAAACCCCAACCACACAAATGAACAAAACAACAAACCAAAGACAGTGTCCATGAATGAAACACAGTGTAAACAAATTATTGTGTGCAAACAATTAAAACTCTTTTAAAAAGAGATACTTAAAAGAATGATTATGACTACATGACTGTTGTTGTTACGTGCCATTGAGTTGCTTGCAACTCATAGTGACCCTATGTACAACAGCCCTAAACTCTGCTCTGTCCTGTGCCAAGCCCACTGCCTCTGACACACCCATCCCGATTACCCCAGTCACTGAATCAATCCACCTCATAGAGGGCCTTCTCCTCCTGCTCTGTCCCTCCACCCTCCCAAGCGTGATGTCCCTCTCCAAGGTACTGGAGGAGAGTATTGAATGTATCATGGACTAGAACTACATGACTACATTACAATAAAACTCTATTCACAAGAAACTGCTTATTGGGTGTTGTCAAGTTGGTTCCACTCCCAAACACAATAGTAGAACCAAACTGCCTGACCTTCTACCATTATCAGTAGATTTGTTGTGTTTGAGTCATGGTTATTTGTCATTCCAACTTGTTTAGTACCTTCTTCATTTTCCTAGTCCTCTACATTCTGGAGGAAAGCATCCTCTCTTTCTCCAGGGACTAGTTCTTCCTGTTAACATGTTCAAAGTATGTGAGCTAAAATCTTGTTACTGTTCTTTTTAAAGGAGCTTTGTGGCTAGATTTCTTCCAAGACAGACTTCATTCTTTTGGCAGTTGGTAATATGTTCAATGTTCTTGTCAATACTGTAGTTCAAATTATAATTCAAAAAAAAATTATAATTCAAAGGCATGAATTCCTTATTCACTACTGTGCAGCTTTTTTTAACATGACTTGCATCAAGTGCACTTTTTGCAGGTAACATTTTTACTTTCTGCAAGCAAGACCGTGTCGTTTACCTAACAGATTTTGATGAATCTTCTTCAGTTTTAATGCCACATTCTTCTTCATATATCCAACTTGTGACATTATTTCCTCAGTATATGTAGACTGAATAAATATGATGAAAATGTACAACCTTGATGCATAGCGGTCTTGATTTTGAATTGCATAGTATCCCATTTCTCTTTTTTTTTAATTAAATTTTGTTAATTTTAATGAACATTTACAGAGATTTTGGGTTTCCCTTCATTCATTCATTGTTGCACTGTTTCCTCTACCCTCCCCCCAGTTCATTCCTCTTTTTTCCCTCCTTGAAAGTCTGTTTTAATTGTCCCATTGCCACAGTGCTTGTCAAAGCCAGTTCTGATTAATCTTCTTTGTCAGTGTGTCCTTTGCCATTCCCTATCACTCCTCCCTGAGAGAGACTTCACCCTGATTCATAAGGAAAAGGGGACGGCATATTCTCTTAGCTACTTTCTGCTGAAAAGGGACGCTGTGGGTTTCAGGGTGAAGATCTTCTCTCACTACTCTAAAGGGCCCCTTTGGCAATAGGAAACACGTAGACTATTGTGGAGATTGATTTTGGAATTTAGAGATGCACTGTTATCAGTTGTGCTTAGCTGTACATGTTCATATCCTTGAAGATGTATCATGGAACTGTTGCAGCCTAGAAGACACAAATTTAACTAACAAATTAAAAGTACGTGAGTCAAAAATTAAAAAGCAATAATATTCTAAGTAGAGGTTCTAATAGTGGCACAAATCAAGTTACAGAGGGAAGGTATTTCTTACAATAAAAGGCCTATTGACTAGCACTTTGTCTATTATAGTATAAAGGTTAGGCACCACTTGATGTAGAGGCTCAACTATGTCATTTATTGCCATTTTTCTCTTTTAATGATTGCTTCTTGGTCTTTGTACAGGTTCTACATGAGCCCAGTTCAATGTCCTGGAATCAGAATTTTTTTTCAGTGTTTCCTGTAACTTGTTTAATGTTTCCCATGCATCTTAATGATTTTGCATAATCAATGAAACATAAGATGGTCTATACTTTCAGACATGATCCGTATGATATCATCAGTGATGTTTCTCTTTTCAAGTCCTCTCGAATTCAGCTTGAGTCTCTGGCACCTCGCTGAAGGTGTATTGCTGTAATCATTTTAATAGGCTTCAGCAAGATTTTGTTTGTGCGTGATATTTAATGACATTATTTAATAATTTTTATGTTCTGTTGGATCACTTGCTTTTTGGAATAAGCACAAAAATGATTCTCTTCCATCTACCAAAGGATTGGCCACATAGAAGCAGATCTAGAGCTGAGTCTGCTTGTTGAAAAACACCTCAGCTATCATTCTTTGAATTCAGGGAGCTGTATTTTTTCCCTTCTTTTCCCCAAAGCCGTCTGTGCAGCCTGAACTACTACTTTCACTATCATTGATTATTGATCATGTATGACTTTGTGTAACAGTGCAGTGTAAACTGATTCTTTTTGATACTCAACTCAAAATGCATTGCTGTTGGATCAGAACCAGCTCATAGCTGACCCTCCATGACTTCTCAAGGCTGTAAGTTGAATGGGAGGACATTTTCTGACTTTCTCAGGAGCTGCTGCTGCTGAGACCAGAGAAGTGTGGCCTTTGGGTTTGCCATACAACTCCCTATAGACTCTGCCACAAGAGTGCACCGTTTTTTATACAATCACTGTGCATTCTTTCCATCTTCTTTTTCTTTGAAATTTTATATTAGTTTCTCACAAGTTCATATACCTTGTATTTTACATTTTCCGCTCATGTTATGTTTTATACAATTATTGCCATGCATTTTGTTTTATAAAATCAATAACCATTGGACCTTGCCCATCATTACCCCATCTTTTCAGGTCCCCACCGGCTTCTTCCCATTTCCTTCATCTGCTTTTGATGTTTCTAGTGTAATGTAACATTTCGTTCATAGATTCTTTTAGTATTAAAACTCAAGGCATACTTTTTTTCTTTCCCTTCAGTTCTTTCAACTTGAGAAATATGTTCTTCCCTTTGGTTTTCTAACTCCAGATTTTTGCATATTTCATTATAATACTTCGCTTTGCCCTTACTGGCTGCCCTTTTGAAGTCTTCTGTTCATCTCTTTTATGTCACTATGTTTTCATTTGCTTTAGCTACTCTGCATTCATAACTAGTTTAATCATCTCTTCTGACATCCATGTTTGTCTTGTCTTTTCAAATAATTTTTAAAACTTACTTTATATATAATGTCTTTGATGTTGTCGCACAACTCATCTGATTTAATGCATCGAGTTTATTTTTTGAGGTGATCTCTGTATTTGGGTGGTAGACACTCATGGTTGTAATAGACTGAATTTAACTTACAGGCTGTGTACATGGTCAACCCTCCAGGGGAATAATCTAGGAACAAGATGTGCTTTTTATATTTGTTTAACAACCTTTCATTTACAAATGCTTTCATTTCTGCTATCCTTTTGAAAAATCAAGTATTAATAACAGTGTTTAGGAAGTAGGATATAATTTACATTTTATATATGAAGACTTGATGATAAGAGAGGTAAATGGATTTGCCTGACATAGGTCAAACTGTTCCTAAGAAAAAGAGCAGAGATTTAGGTATATTATTTTATATTCTGACATTTAAAGCAAATCTAAAACTTCATGTTGTTTAAATAATTCCTTTACACTGTGCTGTTTTACTGAACAAATCCAAGTTGATTTCTCCCTATGAGTATTACATTTGCTATTAGAATTTTTTAAAAAATGAGTTCTATTTCAGGCCATTTGTTATGTATTTTGGGAACATTGCATTTATTAATTTGATGAATGTTTACTTATTAAGTTCTCTTAATCTGTGTGTTCTGTTTCTATATGGCCATTGTTTAATGGAGTGTGTTATTTGATTCTTTTTAAAAAAATAGGTCCTGATTGTTCTTTGAATGTTCCTTCTACCGAGTCTTACTGGATCCTGCCAAATGTTAAGCCCTTCAGTCCATCTGTAGGTCGGGCTTCACATAAAGCAGTTCTGCATGGAAAATTTATGTGGGTGATTGGTGGATATACTTTCAACTACAGCTCTTTCCAAATGGTCTTGAAGTAAGTAGCTTTTTTTATATTTTCACACTTTTTTTAAAGTGGATTTTAATTTGTAATAAGATTACCATTAAGTATCTTTTTTGTTGTTGTTGCTGCTCAGATGTATCAGTGGTATTTTGTGAGAGTGTTTATCTGCTACATGGACTCACTTTGTACTGTGTTAATGAAATATGTCTTTAGTAAATTAGGGAGCTCTGGTAGGTGTGTCGGAGTCAAGGAGACTTGGCTCAGAATAGAGCAGGCTTCAGAGCTATTGCACGTAGGGTCGCTCTGAGTTGCAGGTGACTCAAAGCACTTAACAACAACAGCAACATCATCAACAACAGCAGTGGCTTAGTGGTAAGTTGTTGTGGTGCCAACCCAAAGACACGTGGTTCAGATCTATAAGCTGTTCCACAGGAGAAAGATGGGCAGTCTCCCCCGTGCAGTGCGCTGCCTCTTGTCATCTGCTGGAAAACCAGCTGGGAGTTGGTTCTGACTCCATGGTATAAAACAACAACAGCAGCAGCAACATAACATCGTAAATGTTTATCTTTCTACATTTAGGGATTTGTGTATAGAAATTTTACTGTCTCTACAGATTTCTTTTCATCTGAATATGAAACTATTACTTTTAAATAAGTAGGTTTAAAGTTGGAGTTGATTTTAGAATTGTCATGGCAGTGAGTTGAGAGTTGGAGGGGAAAAGCGAAGTGATGTATTAAGGTAACAGTATAAAGCCTTGCGTTGTAGATGGGTCTCTGATGATACATAGTATGGAAGGACTTACATTGCTAACCCAACGACTACACCGCTTTTGTGGTTTGAATCCACCAGTGACTCCCAGTGGAAATAGTAGCAGTCTCTTCCTGTGTCATTTACAGCTCCGCCAACCCAGCTGGCTCAGTTTTGATTGCTACTCAGTGGTAAGGAGTTGAGTTTTGGAGATGGAGAAAAAGATGATGAACTGACCCTGAGCCATTTTATCTAAGAGATGGAGGAGCCCATTGGCAAGCACATCAAACATGCACATCTTTGCTGAAAAGAATGGATCACCTGTGAAAAGCATAGGGAGCCCTGGTGGCCGAGTCCATTGGGGGCTGCACTGCTGGCCCCAAGGCTGCGTCTCCCTCGGTAGTTTGAATGCACCAGTGGCTCTGTGGTAGACAGAGGGGCGTCTCCTCTTGCCTGACTTACAGCTTGGAAACTCAGTGGGAGCTCGCTATGAGTTGATTCCTGCTTGACACCATGAAGGGTTTTGTGTGTTTGTGTGTGTGTGTGTGTGTGTGTGTGTTTAAGTGAAAAAACAGATTGAGGAGCAAAGGAAATGGAAAGGAACGACTGGTGAGAGAGAAAACAGAGTATTATGGCCGTAAATATTCAGTCTGAGCTTTAAGGGGCTCTAGTGGCCTGGTTCTTAGGGGATTACCTATAGACCATGTCTTTCTGATGCTCCGGATCCCCCAGCAGCATCATGGGAGAAAGATGGATGACCCTTCCCCTGTAATCTACAACCTTGAAAGCTCAGTGTTGGATTGCTGCGAGTTGGCAATGATCTGGTCTTTACAGAAATAGTTTACCGGTTCATCATGACTTATGGTCATTGGGTGGAAAACCAGCATTCTGTCTGAGGGTGCTGGATAGATGGGTAGATGAGTGTTACTAATTTGAAGACAGTAGTATTTCTTCATTTGTATTAGTCATATCTACTTTATAATTTTAAAAAATAGACAATTAAGTTAAACATAATACTGAAACCAGTCCTTGGAGAGGGACATCATGCTTGGGAGGGTGGAGGGATGGCGCAGGAGGGGAAGACCCTCTATGAGGTGGATTGATTCAGTGACTGGGGTAATCGGGATGGGAGTGTCAGAGACAGTGCAATTGGCACAGGACATAGCAGAGTTTAGGGCTGTTGTACATACGGTCACTATGAGTCGCAAGCGACTCGACGGCACGGAACAACAACAACAACAATACTGAAACCAGTTTTTTGTAACCTTTAACATGTCTCTGTGTGTGTGTGTGTGTGTTAAATGTAAGCTTCTTGACTCTTTGATTGAATTCTTGAATTTCCTTGAGAGAAGAAAGGAAATTTAACTGTACTTAGTTCCTAACTTCAAACAGGTCCCTAGTCATTTTTTGTCCTGATGCTCACTCTATGTGTTTTGGAAAAGAAAGGAGACTGGAGTGTTGATGAGCTTGATGATGACCCCAAAATGGAATTCTGTTAAACAGATGTTTTTAAAACTTACATTATTATCATCTATATCATTTGTGAGCAGGGGAATATTAACTTCCTTTGTGATTCTGTCATCTAATAGTAACTGATTTTTTAAAAAAATTAGAAAAATATTTTAGCACTTTATTTTTACCAACCCTCTATACAACTCAGTTCATTCTGCATATGCAGAGAAGAGTCATCAGTCAACAAGCTTTGTTTGCGCATACTAAACGTACACTGGCTTGTTTGGTGAGGGCTAAGCTATAACTGTGTGCAATTGTAAAAATAGAGAGGATTTCTTCTATATTTCTTTCTTTCCAAATAGGAAAAAACCCCACTTGTTTTACCCCTTAAAAATGCAGAATAGCTTACTATGTGTAGGCTAATCTATTGGAAGAAATGATTAAAGATAATTGAACAAATTAATTCCACTACTGAATGTCCTAGTGAAGTTAATGCATATTATACATTTGTGTCACTGAAGCCTAATTTAAATAAGGTATATATTGAGAGAGTCTTTATTAAAAATTTCTAATATGGTACATGAAATTATGAGTTTATTATGTACAATTGTTATTATATTTAATGAATACTTAGAATCAAGTTTAAGAAAACCCCATACAAATTAAAAAACTGAAAATGAAACCATTTGTGGTATTCTCTTCTTTTCTTGCTTTTAGTTACAATTTAGAAAGCGATATATGGAATGTAGGAACTCTATCAAGAGGACCGATCCAGAGATATGGACACTCCCTAGCTTTGTATCAGGTAAGGATACCAAGGAAATTTCAAATAGGTTTTTGTTATGCTTATATGGTGCTCATGGAATTATCATTTGAATATTTTTGATCAAGAAAGAGTCATGTATTTTGTGGTTTGTGGTTGGCCTTTTCAGATCAGAGTACTTTGTCTTTTCAGTTGCATGCTGAAAAACATCTGAAAAATACAGGAACAGTATAAAAGAGAGAATAAGAATGACTCATGGTGTTACTACTTATAAAAGAAAATAAAATATTCTCACTCTATACATGGCTGTATGTTATGTTTGTGTACACAAGTGATGATTCTGTGTGTCTTTGTGCTCTTCTTGGTTTTTATTTTAAAATTTTGTTCTTTATGTTTTTGTAACTTTTTAGAGAGAAATGACATACTGCATAATTTTTTCACTTAAAGTATACAATTCCATGTTTTTATTATATCCACAGAGTTTTACAACTATTACCACAATTTACTTTGGGACCTTTTTTTATCATCCCAAGAGGAAATTTTGTACACTTTAACTACCATCTCCAAGTCCCCTTATTCCTAATCCTAATAATCTACTTTTGTTTCAGTATGCTTTTGTATTCTGGCTATTATTATAAATGGAGTCAGATATAGATTTTTGGTAGGGACTTCCTTCATTTAGCATAATGTTTTCAAGGTTTATTTGTGTTGTAGCTTATATATCAAGGTTGCATTCTTTCCCCATACCTCTGAAAGCCCAGTAAGTAGAGAGTTGAACTGCTAATTCAAAGCCGGGTAGAGTTTGAATCCATCAGCTGATTCATGGGAGAAAGGTGGACAGCCTCCTTTCATACAATTTACAGCCTCTGAAAGAAAACCAGCTAGAAGGTGAGCTGGAGTCACTTCTGACTTGACAGCACATAACAGCAACAACAATAATTCTTTGTATATGCTGTGCAGATAATTTGAGAAGCTTGACTATACTACTAGGGAGCTCTGGTGGCCTAGTGGTAAGAAACTGCACTGCAGTCCCAAAGGCATGCAGTTGAAGTCTACCAGTTGACCTGCAGAAGATGGGCAGTCACCTCCCGTGTGACTTACTGTCTCTGAAAACCCGCTGGAGGTTCCCTGATGAGTTGATTCCTACTGGATAACATTCAACAACAGACTAAATGAAGAAGAATGCGGCATCGTAGAATGAGTATGGGAATCTGAAGGGGGGTGGGTGGAAGCAGAGAGGTGAGGATGGACGGAAGGAGGTGAAGATTAATCATAGGGTCACACAATTTGATGGGTGGGTGGTGAAGGAAATGGGAACAAACCTGTGTGAAAATGTATTCGAACTTTAAAAAAAACAGTATGAAATAAAGTAAATAAATAAAAAATAGAAAACATTTAGAAACAATGTGCATTATGCAGATGATACGAGATTGCAGAAAGTGAAGAGGACTTGAAGCATTTGCTGCAGCAGATCAAAGACTACAGCCTTCCGTAGAGATTACATCTCAGTGTCATGAAAATAAAAAGCCTCACCACTGGACCAGTAAACAACATCATGATATATAGAGAAAAGATTGAAACCAACAATGATTTCATTTTACTTGAATTCACACTCAATACTCATGTTAAGATCATTCAGGAAACCAGAGGGCGTGTTACATTGGGACAGTCTTCTGTCAAGGACTTCTTCAATGTGCCAAAGTGCAAGGATGTTACATTAAAGACTAAGGCACACCTGTTGCGAGCCATGGTATTTTCACTTGCTTCTTTTGCATATGAAAGTTGGACAATGAACAAGGACGGTGAATGGAAGAATTGATGTCTTAATTTAAGTGGTAGTGTTGGAGAAGAGTAGTGAATATCCCATGACCTACTAAATGAACAAACAACCCTTTCTGAGAGGACGTCCAACCAGGTGCTTCTTTAAGGCAAGGATGGTGAGACTTTGTCTCCTTTGTGAGGAGGGCTTGGTCCTTGGAAAAATACATCATGCTGGATTTCTTTTGATTTTGGATTTTCCTTTGCCAGGTTGAGAAAGTTTGCTTTTTAGTTTAGGTAAATAGTAATAATTTATATTGTTTATTTATCAGTAATTTCAGTCATATGTGACTGAAGTTATTTCCATGATATATAAATATTATATAGATTTACCAGAGTTGGAAAATGACTAGGGAGGATAGAAGGAGAAGTGATGCCTTTGAGTTCTGGTGTTGGAGAAGAGTGTTGAATATACCATGGACTGCTAAGAAAATGAACAGGTTTATCCTGGAGAGGGTGAAACCATGTTGTTCCTGGAGGTAAGGATTCTGAAGCTTCTTCTGATATATTTTGGACATGTTGCAAGGAGGGACCAGTCCTTGGAGAAGGACAGCATGCTTGGAAGGGTGGAGGGACAGCGCAGGAGAGGAAGACCCTCTATGAGGTGGATTGATTCAGCGACTGGGGTAATGGGTGTAGGTGTGTCAGACAGTAAGATTGGCACAGGATAGAGCAAGGTTTAGGTCTGTTGTACATAGGGTTGCTATGAGTTGCAGGTGACTTGACAGCACATAACAACAACAACAACAACAACAACATACTGCCATAAAAAATAGTATTAAAAATATACTACCCATGATGCACCCACGTTGTCTACCTTTTTGGAGTGAAAGAATTTGGCCCATATAGTAAGAATGGCATAAAGCAATAGATGCAAAATTCACGTATAATAACCAGGGGCTCAGATGGAAACAAATTTAAAACTTAAGGGTGATCTTTCTAAAACTAAGAATAGTTTGCTCCTTACATGTAAAAGCAGCAGAATGAGGTGCTGATTAGCATTATTTGGATTTCAAGTTCTTAAGTAGCTTATTCTGTTTTCCATTCTCCTAGCATTCTTTCACTGTTCTCTTCCTGCAGGTAATGAAAAATAGAATTAGAAGGTATGTGTTGCACATATTGTTATTGTTAGGTGCCGTCGAGTCTTAGATGATTCATAGCTACCCTATGAACAAAAGGCCTGAGCACTGTTCATAGAGTTTCTGGAGGCAAGCCATTTCAGAAGTGGGTGCCACTCCTGCTTCCAAGCTTGTTCTAATCTGGGAGCACCACCAAACACTGTCCATCATGGATAACCATTATCGCATATGGCACATCAGTGTCACAATGACACTGTTATGTGTTGCACATATTTTAAATAAAATATCTTGAAGCTAATTTTTATCACCGTGGATTTGGTCTGTTGTTGGCATGTGACAGCATTACCTCTCAGTACTTGAGAAGAATTCCTCATTGTGCATGCTGTACAGTTACTAAACTCTAATGTGTATATTGCATTTTTATTCTCGCTTGTCTGTTAACATGTATATTTTAACTTCCAGGAAAACATCTTTATGTATGGAGGCAGAATCGAAACAAATGATGGCAATGTTTCGGATGAATTGTGGGTGTTCAACATTCCGAGTCAGTCCTGGAGTACCAAGAGCCCGACTGTTCTTGGGCACGGGCAGCAATACGCTGTGGAGGGGCACTCGGCACATATTATGGAACTGGATAGCAGAGATGTCGTCATGATCATAATATTTGGATATTCTGCAATATATGGTTACACCAGCAGCATACAGGAGTACCATATCTGTGAGTTGCTTTTCTCTTCGTTACTGGTTGAGATTATTTTCTGTTGTATAAGATCTCTATGGGAATGTAGTCAACATGATGTGGTCAGAAGTATAGGGTGGATGGTAATAATTCTAAATGCAAACCTTCCGAATATGTTTTAGATTTTGTTGCTTAATCTCTAGATAGGTCTTCATGGTCAAGTTAGGTGAAATGAATGATCTGTGGCATCTGTCCTATTTTTCTAGAATTCATGATGTTTTTATATATAAGAAATTCCAGTAGATGGTGCTATGTGCTTGGATTTTACTTCTGAACCAAGTCTTTGAAACATTACTCAACCTTTTTAAGAAGGCAGGATGTAAAAATTTCTCAGAGTTCTGTTCTTGATCTTACTGCAGTTATCTATAAGTATATAGATCTATTTACTGTTTTATCAATACAAATACATAGATATTTACCCTTACAAAATAAGAATTATTGAGAATAACCTGCTGATTCTAAGTGGGATAATTATCTGGTATATGAAGGTACCTAAGAAATCAATATATGACTCTGTGAATTATACTGTTAGATAACCTTTATTTGTCTGGGTCTTTTTTTTCTCTCTCCTATTTTAGTATTCTGCATGACATGCTTAAATACATGTAACCTTTGTGTTGGTTTTCATTTTTTCTGCAAATAGCTGTCTATAACATGGTAGCTTACTTACATCATTTTTGGTTATGAACTCAAGATGTTGGTTCTTTTTTGTATAGACAATTATATTCGAACTAGCTAGAGTTCTTGTTCAGTTTTAATAAGAAAACTCATTTGCTGACCACCATTAGAAGCAACAAGAGACCGCCTGTGTGCCCAGTGGAAGATTCCCCTTCTCAATACTCCACTATTTGCACTGCAGTCCTTTCGTATAATGGCTGTTTATGCTCCCATATGCCGGGACAGCTGGGCTGTGAAAGGAATAGAGATCTTTGCTTGTTATTGCCAGTTCCACGCCCTCCTACGTTGTTACCTGGCTCTGAATCTTGTATCATGAGAGTAAACCACCCAGTACTTCATGGTTGAGTGTTTTGTCCTCCTTGGAGATCTTTCTTTAATTTTTTTTTTAAGACTTTAGTTTCTCACTCACTGTTACTCTTCCCAGAAATATATCACTCAAATATTTTTCTGCATTTAGCCACCACATAAAGGCTTCTTCGACTATCTAGCATCTTAATTTCTTCATCTCTCTTAAAGATATCTGGTGAAAAAAGAAATATCTGGTGGTTCATCTTATGTATGCCATTCATTCCCATGTTCATACTATTTTATTTTGTAACTACATCCCTCTAATGGGTTCCATAATTTCTATTTTAAATATTTAATTACTCCTCATCTTTTCAGATTACTCTTTCTACAACCTGCATCTGACAGTTCTTTAACCTTACCGAGAGCTTTCAGTTCCCTGAAGCTCCTTTCATTCTCTTTTCCATGCTTCTAACCCTATGCATTTTTAAGTTATTAATTGCCAATCTCTGATTATTCTCCTGGGTAATATTTAGAGCTGCTATCAGACCCGTTCAGTCCTTCTCCAAACTTCCTAGGATGACCATTTCATACATTTTCTGTTCTCCCCAAACTTGTAACACTTTTTTTCCTGTTATCACTCATAATCTTTCTATTTTATTAAGAAAATATAAATGATTGCTAAGAACTTGTGCTGACAGGATCATGTTAGATTGTAATAATAATAGGAATATGGAGTGTATGAAATAGATTTCCTGGTAACTTGGAAGTTGCTGAAAATGACATAAAATACACAAACATCAAATTCTTTTGATGAAAGGAACATGCTAGTATTGTCATTTTAATTAGAGAATCTGATGGTCTGCTATGAAAAAGTTAACAGACATTTGGGGGCGGGGGAAGAAGAACGAACTGGGGAGGAGGGTAGAGAAAACAGTGCAACAATGAATGAATGAGAACCCCAAATCTCTGTAAATGTTCATTAAAACTAATAAAAATTAAAAAAAAGAATGACATTGCATTCATTGTCAACAAGCAAAAAATTATTTCTAGATCTATCTTGAAGTACATTTTTGTCAGCCATAGGGTAATATTCATACATCTGTCTACAAGAAAGACCAGTTAATATTGTTGTGTTGTTGTTGTTATGTGCCATCGAGTCACTTGCGACTCATAGCAACCCTATGTACAAGAGCTCTAAATGCTCTTCTATCCTGTACCAACCTCGCCGTCTCAAACACACTTATTCCCACTGCTCCAGTCACAGAATCGATCCATCGCATCGAAGGTCTTCCTCTCCTTCGCCACTCTCCCAAACATGATGTCCCTCTCCAAGGACCAGTCCCTCCTTGTAACATGCCCAAAGTATGTCAGATGAAGCTTCAGAATCCTTGACTTCAAAGAGTCTTCTGGCTTCACCCTCTCCAGGACAAACCTGTTTGTTCTCCTAGCAGTCCATGCTATATTCTACACTCTTCTCCAGCACCACAGCTCAAAGGCATCAATTCTCTTTCTATCAACCCTATTCATTGTCCAACTCTCTGATGCATAGCACGTAATTGTGAAGACTATAGCCCAGATCAGGCACACCTTAGTCTCCAGTCTGACGTCATTGCTCTTCGGTACTCTTGTGAGGTCCCTCACAGCCGACTTTCCCAATGCAATTCATCTCTTGATTTCCTGGCTGCTGTTACCAAGAGTGTTGATTGTGGAGACAAGAAACTAAAACTGTTAACTATCTCATCTCTTCACCATCCATACTGATGGTGCGAATTGGCCCAGTGGTGAGAATCTTTGTTTTCTTGATGTTAAGCTTCAGGAGGCTGCAGTCCTTGATCTTCTGCAGCAAGCGCTTCAGGTCCTCCTCAGTTTCAGCAAGCACTACTATTAAAATGTATATGTTAGTGCCATTGAGTTAACTATGAGTCATAGCAATGAAAAACAGACCTGAACCTTGTCCTATACTGTGCCATCCTCATTATCTCTGATAAACTTGAGCCCATTGATACAGCCATTATGTCACTCCTTCTTGTTAATGGTCTTCCTCTCCTTCGCTGAGCTTCTAAGCATGATGTCTTTTTCAAAGGTGTAACTTCCCCTAACAACATGCCCAAAGTAAGGGATGCAAAATTTTACCACCTCTGCTTCTGTGGCGCACTCTGAGTGCCCTTTCTCCAAAGATATTTGTTCATTCTTTTGAAAGTCCATGGGATATTCAGCAGTCTTCTCCAACACTACTATTTAAAGGCATCGATTCTTCTGTCAACATTAGTCATTGTGCACCTTTCAAATGCATAGTAAATAATTGAAAAGACAACGAATTGGATCAAGTGCATCTTAGTCTTTAAACTGAGATTCTTGCTCTCCAGTGTTTTGGAAAAGTCCTTGACAGCGGATTTCCCCAATGCAATATGTCTTTTGATTTCTTGACTGCTGGTTCCTTGGGTGTTTGTGGATCCAAGCAAAAAGAAAACATTGCCAACTCCAGTCTTTTATCCATCTATCATGGTCTTGTCTATTGGTGTAGTGGTGAAGATTTTTGTTTCCTTGATATTGAAGTGTAATCTCAGTTGAAGGCTATAGTCTTTAATCATCTGCAGCAGTTTAAGGCTCTCTTCACATTTGTCGAGCAAGGTTTTAGCATCAGCATAACCCAGGTTGTTGATGAGTCTTCCTCCAATCTTGATGTTACATTCTTCTTCCTATAGTTCAGCTTCTCAAATGATTTCTAACACTAATGCCCAAGATGAAGAAATGTAAGATTTTTACAGACTTTGTCTATTTGACATTTATCAAATATACTATAAAGATGCATTGGGAGTAAGTGATTAGGATATGACACTAGGAAATGAAGAAGGATCAGCAATTCGAAAATGAGGTTTTGGTAATAGAAATAGAGATCATATGATAGAATTTTGTAAGACCAATGACCTGTCATTGGAAATACCTTTTCTTTAACACATAAACAATGAGTATCCATGTGGACCATGTTGAACAGAATACACAGGAATCAAATTGCATTCATCTGTGGAAGGAGGATGAAGAAGCTCATTATCGTTAGCTGGAACAAGACCAGAGGTTGACTTTGGAAAAGACCACTGACTACTCATATACACGTCCAAGTTGAATGTGAAGAAGATGACAGTAAGTCCACAGAAGCCAAAGTATAACCTTGAGCATTCCCATCTGAACGTAGAGATCATCTCAAAATCAATTTTGTGTATAAAACAATAATGACCAAGGACCAAGGAAGAACATCATACATGAAAAGAGCAAAAGATCATTAAAGAAACAGTTAAAAAAAAGAAAAAGATCAAAATGGATGTAGAAATGACTCTGAAACTTGCTTTCAAATGTTAAGGAGCCTTCACGCAAGTGGAAGAAATGATGTACAGAGCTGAGCAAATGTCAAAGGGAAGCTTGAGAAGACAAAGTAAAGCATTATAAAGAAATATTCAAAGAGCTGGGAAAACAATATGTTCAGCATTTCTCAAAGGGAGGAACCCATGAAAAAGTTTAAGCCTTGAGTTGAAATATACGGAGAAATTTTTGCAGGCAAATACTGAACGGTGCAAAAAACAGCAAAAAGTTGTAAGGAAAAGACAGTGGAACTGAAACAAGAAGAATTGGTTGACATCGAACCATTTCAGGAGGTGGCATAAGGTCAAGAATCAGAAACACTGAAGGAAGATGTCCAAACTACTCACAAGGTATGGCTGGTCCAGGGAGAACAAACTCCATTCGCATTTGTCTGTCAGGAACTGTCTTCATTTCACTGTTGGGCACCTTTCATCAGGTCTGGGAAACTCGGATGACAGTTTGAGTTTATTTTTCCACTGCTTTCAGGCTGCCTTGGTTTCTGAGACAAAATCAATCATGCTTGGTAGGGTGGGTGGACAGCGCAGAAGGGGAATGCCCCCTATGAGGTGGATTGATTCAGTGACTGGGGTAATCGGAATGGGAGTGTCAGAGACAGTGCGACTGGCACAGGACAGAGCAGAGTTTAGGGCTGTTGT